ACGTTGCTGTCATTGGAATGCCCTTCATGTTCTAATATGCCCACTGAGGTCTGAGCCTTCTTTACTGCATTATTATTTGTTTCTTTCCCTTTGCCATGTTTAGTTAAGTTTTCCTTATCTGTTTCAGTATCCTCCAGTGAACTTTCTTTCACCAGTTCGCAGAGAATTGCTTTATCTCCAGTTGGGTCCACATCTGTGCTGTTCTTTGATTTCCCGTTAATATCTTTCCCAGTGGCAGCGACGGATTCTAATCCAGCAGTATTTGCTTCCGGTTTTTGTTTCATAATGTAAGCCTGCTTCCGTTTTACACATCTGGTCCTGTAACCTTGGGTCAAGGTTTCCAATGAACTGTATGTGCGTTTGTTTGCTTGCTTACTGCCTTCATAATTGGCTTTCTGCGGAGACTGGCAGTTATGTTGATTACACAAAACTTCATTTTCAAAGTGATTCTCAAATCTAACCTCTGAAGGTAATCGGTCTTCAGCCAAAATATAAGTTTCTTCTTCATTCAAATTATTGATTAATGTATCGTTTTCTGTAAATAGAAGGTCTCCATATTGTTGTGCCTGGTTTGTGGAAAAGAATCTGTTATCGAAACAGTTCTCATTGCTCTCTGACAAAGCCATCTTGTTGTAGTCGTCTGAGAAATCTTGGTCGCCATGAACATCAGGGCTTGTTCTCGACAACTGCCCATCATTGAGACAGGCATCATCAGCATCATACTTGAAATTCGTTTTGAAATAGACACTGTGAACTGAATTATCTTGTACGTCATTATTGTTAGGAAGATTCAGCTGTGTTTCCTGTTTGACATTGTTTAGATGTGTGTTGTATTTTGTTTCTGACAGTCGATTACCAATCTGGCGGTGTATGTTGCCAGCAGGCAGAGCTGGGATGATGTCGTAATCAAGATCTATCGACAAATCGTTATTCTTTATGATGTGCTTGCAAGTCTCCTGTAGGCAACTTTCGGTGTGTTTCATCCCGGCAAGTATTTCTTTAGATAGTTCCTTTTTCTCCTTCCATTTATTTCTCTCTCTCATGAGTTTCACTTGCAAATCTTGCAATTTCTCCTTCTATAGACATGCAAAGGAGAAAAGTAAAATATTTTGGCCACATTAAAATACTAAAAAGTTAGTTGCATATCATTTACAGTTTACAGGACGTCTCATACCAACCCCAACATGTGTCAGCTGTTTGTGGTTTCACTAAACACTTTCACGTCCATTAGTTTATCATTGCCAACTCTGTGACAATACCTGCATATATGACCGCCGGTTCGTTCACAGCCACGTCTAATGACCACGGACAAAGCAACACTATAATTTTTTGTGTGTCAGTGACGAATGTTTCCCGTCACCGAGTTCGGTCGACGTGAGAAACTACGTGACAGTCGCATATTAGGTACATGTGGCTGTGACCCGGCTGAAGTTTTGCCCTAATTGCAGAATAACAGAACGCTGGTCTCAGATTAGAACAAGCCGAGCGTCCTTGCCAAACATCTGCGTTTTGGGTCCTTTGTTAAAGCACGGCATCTGCATTCATTAGAGGAAGGGATCAGCTCTTACAGCAGGATGGTAATTTCAGTCCCTGTAGAGTTTTAGAACTGCAGTTTTAATCTAAACTGCACACAGCTCTATTTATATTGTTCGACCGGGATCATTACCACACTATTACAACTCAGTTATAACCATCTTCTTATTTTGTTTCCCTTTTTCATCAGATGTAAACTCCAGCGAAAAGTTCTGTTTGTTCGTCCACTTGTGGACTTAAGTCTAATTACAAAACATAAGTTTTACTTACACATATATTTTAAAGATCTGGTTTATTTGTATGCATACTGTTGGTTCTTTACTTCCCAAGCAGATACACTCTGTCTTCGAAGGAGACTCCCATAGTTTAGTCACCTTGTACGACATGCTTGATAGGAAGGCAGTGGGTCCATTCACACCACACCCTCAGGGTGGAAGGTGGGATAGGTATGAACTCATACAGGGAGGTCGACATCTCATACCATTGTCGAAATCAGGTTGAAGGGATCCCCTGCTAAATTGTCTGCAGCTGATTTGAACGAGATTTTTCGGAATGATATACCTGCATCCATTAACTTAATTAACAGACGCCGATCAAAATATACAAACTTGTACAAATGAAGCTGGAGGGAAAAGTTTAACGCAAGCGAGCAAGAGGTTGACAGTAATACAAGTGTAGGGATAAAATACAGAAATTTAGGAACATAATTTTCACCAGCTGTCTGAATTAGTTACAGTTACGATATACGACTGATCCTTAGGCCAACAGAAGGCTGCTGTGACTGCCCTCGCTCCCATTGTTGGAATATCATATGTCAGGATTAGATGCACTAAGCAACGTCCATTAGCTTTTGCTACGGATCCCCATGCCTTTCTTCTGCATCTCAAAATATAGAACCATCTGTACAGATATTCAATCAGCTGGGCGAGAATTGTCGTGAATCATTCACTTTTGCTGAGAAGGCCCATGAGTTTAGCCTGCCGCTCAACACAGAATCATCTGTATAGATTATTACATCACCTGGGCAAGAAATGTCATGAATCATTTGTTGAACTTTTGATTCTGCCAGTCCCTGCAATCACGGCTCAGTGTGTGAATAAAATCTCCCTGCACTCACAGCTCTGTGTGTGATAAAAATCTCCCTGCACTCACAGCTCAGTGTGTGATAAAAATCTCCCTGCACTCACAGCTCAGTGTGTGATAAAAATCTCATGCACTCACAGCTCACTGTGTGATAAAAATCTCCCTGCTCTCGTGGCTCAGTGTGTGATAAAAATCTCCCTGCACTCACGGCTCTGAGTGTGATAAAAAGCTCCCTGCACTCACGGCTCAGTGTCATAAAAATCTCCCTGCTCTCGTGGCTCGTTATTCCAACGTACCGCGATCGAAACACACTGCTAACTGCGTGGATTTTTATCATGATATGGATCGTTGCAGTTCGACCCAGCCTAGAATGGGTACCAGGATATATGTCCTGCGAAGTAAAGACGGCCAGCGTAATGCTGACCACATTACCCACCTAGTGCCGATTGGTCTGTAAAAAATGGGCTCTTTTCCCAAATGCCTGATGCGCCTTAAGACGTGAAAAGGGATCTTTACTTACTTTGACTTACTCACGGCTCAGTGTATGATAAAAATCTCCCGGCATTTATGGGTTAGTGTGATACAAATCCTACACACGTCTGATAGTTGCTCGGACACATTGACCTACCCCTCTTCTCACACAACATTGTCCAGCCTGCACTCATGTCTAATTGTGATTCAGCTTGCGCTTTCCAAGACCTTTCGCTGTCCAGTCACTGACCTTTTGTTCTGTCTAGTATAGGTTTTATGCAGGGGGTGCTTCTTGTCTTTAGTACTCTTAGATATGACTCTGCTTGCAGCCTTTTGAGTCTTTCTGTACTAGTCGACAGTGCAAGTATATATCACATACATTTTACCGGAATATCTCTTGTAGAAAGTAAACGCATAGGACCCTTTGCCACGCCTTTAGGCTTATTTGGTATATAGGGCTAGACCTATATTTTATAAACCAAACGGCACTTGGTGGGTGATGTGGCCACCTTCACTTCCCAGAACTGTACCTGGTACCCACTCAAAGCTGGGTCGACCTGGGAGCCAAAGTCATTTTGGAGAAAAGTTTGGACCCTGTCTGTACCCAAACCCACGACCTTTGATCCGCAAGCTGACGTCTAGCCGCTAGACCACGACGGCTGCCGGAATATCTCTTGTACATCCCAGAAATACCATCATGGTTTCATTCTGTATGTGTTACTTTTATTCAGTTGACTCTTTGCTGCGGTAAACATTCCAATATGCGTTACTTTTATTCAGTTGACTCTTTGCTGCGGTAAACATTCCAATATGCGTTACTTTTCATCAGTTGACTCTTTTCTGCGGTAAACATTCCAATATGCGGTAATTTTTATCAGTTGACTCTTTGCTGCGTTAAACATTCCAATATGCGTTAATTTTCATCAGTTGGCTCTTTGCTGCGGTAAACATTCCAATATGCGTTAATTTTCATTAGTTGGCTCTTTGCTGCGGTAAACATTCCATGTCCACAATCTGTAACCGCCTACGGATATAGAGGTCGTTGTTTCATTCAAGTCGTGACGAAGCCGGATATTTTTCAAACAAATGACCTTGGCTCCCAAGTCGACCCAACTTTAAATGGGAGTCAGGTAAAGTGGTGGGAAGTAAAGGAGGCAGGAGTGATGCTGACCATATCACTCAGTGAGTGTCGATTGGTATGTAAAATATAGGTCAAGCCCTAGACGCCTAATACGCATAGAGGCGTGGTAAAGTGTTCTTTACTTTCGTCAGTTCTCGTTGTGCCTAGTGGCACATGAGGCTTCAGAGAGGACTTTCCATGCTTTCCTGTCCTGTGCAATCTCCAGTGCAGTTTTCCATGTCAAAGATTCCGCACTCAGGTCACTTTCCATCGTTCGTTTCCATGTTGTTTTGGGCGCCCCTGTTTTCTCCTTTCCTCTGGTGTTCATGTGAGAGCTGTTTTGGCAGGTATATTAGGATTCATTCTCGTAACGTGGCCAAGCCATTTCCATCTTCTCTTGGTTGTCACACTGTCTAAAGTTTCTTGGTTTGTGACTTGAAGTAGTTTAGTGTTTGAGATTATATCTGGCCAGACAAATTTTGATAATTCTACGTAGACATGTGTGGTGGAAGGTGGACAGCTTGTGTGCATCCTTTTTGGTCATTCTCCAGCATTCCGCTGCATAAAGACTTTACGTTTCTTTAAATGGTTTGTGAATCCAAGCTTTCTTCAATGTTCATTCATTTCTTGCAAATTTTTTGAGTTGATTTTTTCAAAGACCTTAGCGTTCTAACTACAAAGTTAACATTTGAGAAATAAAATTTTATTATAAATACAGATTTAGCATTCTGGAAAAGAAAAAAAAAAACTGTCGTTGTTACATCAAAAAGATTTGTGAGAATAGCTGGCTTACTTTCTCTTTGGCCTTATCCAACGGGGAAAGAGACTTTTTCTTTGGAGAAGGGTTTGTATTTGGTGTATCCTGTGTCCCTTTTAGAACTGGCTGTTGACTGGGGAGGATAGTCACAGCTGGAAATACTGTCTGTTGAATATGAATGTTAATACATGCGATGAGAAATAATTGCATTATATAGGAGGGAGTAAACAATTATTGTTAACAATTGCAAATGGAAATACTGTTAATATGAAAGTTAAAAAAAGGACAGGACCATTTTCCACGCCTTTAGACGTATAGGGCATATAGGGTTAGACCTATTTTTTCATAGACCAATCGGCACAAGATGGGGGATGTGGTCAGCATCACGCCGGCCGCCTTAACTTCCTGAGACTGCACCCGGTACCCACTCAAGGCTGGGTCGACCTGGGAGCCAAGATCATTTTTGAAAAAAGTCCGGCATCGCCAAGGAGCGTACTCACGACCTTCCGATCCGCGCCGAGCGTCTAGTCGCTCGGCCACGGTGACTCCCTTGTTAAAAGGAAGGATACTTTAAAAATTGTAATATGGAAAATAGAAAATACTGGCTGTTAATCTGATGGAATAGTTTAGAAATGTTAATGTAAGCAACAGGAAAACGGCAATCAGATTCAAGTCAGTGCTGGATTAAGACTTGAGGTTTGAGGTTTTGAGGTTTTGGACAACGGATCAACATATGGCACACGGGTAGTAAACCTATAAAAGCTCCGTTTTTCTAGCTCAAGTCTCAATCCGAAGAAGCTTAGCACAGTGCACGGGGTCTCTAGCACCAACGAGGATCCTTAAATACTTTGGATAGATTTTTAAAAGACCTGAGGAGACCTTAAACCTTATAAGGCCTGGAGGTCCCAACAGCTTTCAATTACATCAGCTCAGTATTTTTAATTAAAAAAAACAAAATGAAGGAAGGCGTTTGCAAAATCACAGAAACTGTATTATACGATCGTCTGATCAAGTTACAACTTACAACACATTGGGGAGTGGGGGGGGGGGGGGGGGGTTCCCAAATGCAAAAAAATAAATGATGACGTATATTAGGATTACTATTTTATTCAATTAAAATAAGCTACTAGTTAGAAAACATAAAAGCCTGAGATAATCTACCCTAAAGGATATAAATTTAATTAGAAAATTTGTCGATGAAAATTTAATATATATTAAACGAAAATTTTATTAAAACATATATTAAGAGAAAATTGCATTTGTGCTACAACGACAACGGCGATGAGCAGAACAACAATAACAACAACACACAAGGAATATTGTATGGTCTCTGTAGATTCTGAGGCCCTGAGTTATAACTTATTCTACCTTGTTTGCCTTACCGCTGGTTTGGCTTAAACGTAAATCTATTATAATGTATAGTATGTCTGTTAATCTCTACTTAAATCTGTTTCTTCCACGAGTTTCTGTCAATGCTTGCGAATTCCTTTCTCAAGAGAGATAGAGTGTTTTAATTTGTACAAATGTGCGCATTGCTAAGTCAGTTAAATGTTGCGTATCACTTACAGGACGTTGCACAACCAATCCCATCATTATTTAGCTGTTTGGGTTTTTCTAGGCAAATTTTACGTTTAATAGTTTGCCATTGCTTACTGAACGGTCAGCTCTTGGTACCACTTTCGAAGCCAACGCAAGACAAATCGTCCGCAGCTGGGATCGAACCCAGCACCCCTGCATTACGAAGCGCGTCCCCAACGCCTAAGCCACAGACGCCGACACTAAGTGAGTAAACACTTTCATTACATTGCTTTAGTAAGTCAGTTGCTACAGGCTATTTTGTAACTGCAGTATAACCATCATAGTTAAACGAAGCTTCCGGTGTTAGTATTTGCTTGATTCTCATTGGTGATGTATTCAAGCCCTGTAGACTGCAGTGCTCTGAGGGGACAAACTACCCACCTACTGTAAGTCACCGGTGACCACTATCATCACCACTTACACCATCATCAACACAGGGCTATGCCATTTATACACAGGACTCGTAGTTAACTCCTCCATTCCGTTATACCCTGCGTGTATTAGTTTGTTTGTTCCTTATCGTGTATAGAATCAATGCAGTTATCTTTATCCTCTTTCATCAACGTTCCTCATAGTGTTTCTCTTGTATAAAACGAAACAACTATCGGACTGCGTTGAACCATCATTCCAAAATGCTCTACCGTAGGCCTGACAAACATCCAAGACCTAAAGCAGGTCGCAACGAACCGCCATACATGGAAATCTATGACCTCTGTACAATGCGCCGCTCTAGGCCCAAGAGGAAAGACTAACTTCTTCTTCTTCACGTTCACCAGCTGTACACTCTGGCGTAAAGTTCTGGTTGTTCGTCCGCTTCTGGACTGCAGTCCTGCTCCAGAACCTGAGTGTTGCGTGTGCATCAGTTTTACAGATCTGATTCAATTGAATGTAGACTGCTGGTTCCTTGCCTCTCAGGCAGATGCACTCCGACTTCAAAGGAAGCTCCCCAGTTAGTCGACTCTTACGACATGCTTTTGGGGAGGCAGTGGGTCTATTCTTGTTTTCCCCACAATAGGGCCCCGGAACCCACACGGGGGAAAGACTAACTAACTAAAGGACTGCTGCGGCATACATAAAACACGGGGGAGTCACGGGGAAGTCACGATGACAGCGGAAAGTGTGGTCACCCTAGTTGGAAGCAACATTCAAGGCACACATGACTGATTCTGCTGTACAACATGTGGAACCCGTTCCGTTTTGATGAGAAAAAAAATCGGCACATTCAACCAGCATCCCCAAATGGGAAGCTTTTGGTTATAATTGTGACTAGGATTATGTGCGTTGCATAAAGTGGCTTAACATGACTCGCCACCAAGTAGCCATGAAAAGGACTCCTGCAGTATGGATGCGTTCAAAAGAGACAGACCCAAATACTGTCCTGACCGAGGACAAGGTCGTCTGCCGGCCAGCCAATGGGCGACCCGTTCGCCAATGATGTGGAACCCGACCTGTACTCTTGTACTTGACTGAAATTCCTCTTGGTGTGTGTGTGTGTGTGTTTATGCGCGCGTGTGTATGCGGGTGTGTATATGTATGCGTATGTGCATGTTAGTGAGTGTGGTGTGTGGTTGTGTGTGTGTCTGTGTGTGTGTGTGTGTGTAATTACGCAAGAGCACTTATGATGGTATCCGTGTTAAATGCAAATCCTCTTTCACAAACAAGCAAAAACATTTGAAAAGAAATAATAACTTGTTAATATTACCTCAGAAAGGGAGGGAGTTACCGATGGTTTTTCTTTCCCCATACTGACAAAAGCTAGGGCTTAAGTCTATGCGGAGGCTAGCCTTTCAACTGTGCGTTGTCTCATATGGACTGTTGAGAGAAAATAACGTAGAGCATGGTTTGTTTAGAAAACAGAACGTTTACTATAGTTTGTTTTTGAAAACAGAAAGTTTACTATAGTTTGTTTAGAGAACAGAACGTTTACTATAGTTTGTTTAGAGAATAGAACGTTTACTATAGTTTGTTTAGAGAACAGAAAGTTTACTATAGTTTGTTTAGAAAACAGAACGTTTACTATAGTTTGTTCAGAAAACAGAACGTTTACTATAGTTTGTTTAGAGAACAGAAAGTTTATTATAGTTTGTTTAGAGAACAGAAAGTTTACTATAGTTTGTTTAGAGAACAGAAAGTTTACTATAGTTTGTTTAGAGAACAGAAAGTTTACAATATTTTGTTTAGAGAACAGAACGTTTACTATAGCTTGTTTAGAGAACAGAAAGTTTACTATAGTTTGTTTAGGGAACAGAAAGTTTACTATAGTTAGTTTAGAGAACAGTTTACTATAGTTTGTTTAGAGAACAGAAAGTTTACTATAGTTTGTTTAGAGAACAGAAAGTTAACTATAGTTTGTTTAGAAAACAGAACGTTTACTATAGTTTGTTTAGAGAACAGAACGTTTACTATTGTTTGTTTAGAGAATAGAACGTTTACTATAGTTTGTTTAGAGAACAGAAAGTTTACTATAGTTTGTTTAGAGAACAGAAAGTTTACTATAGTTTGTTTAGAGAACAGAAAGTTTACTATATTTTGTTTAGAGGACAGAACGTTTACTATAGCTTGTTTAGAGAACAGAAAGTTTACTATAGTATGTTTAGGGAACAGAAAGTTTACTATAGTTAGTTTAGAGAACAAACAGTTTACTATAGTTTGTTTAGAGAACAGAAAGTTTACTATAGTGTGTTTAGAAAACAGAAAAATAACTATAGTTTGTTTAGAAAACAGAACGTTTACTATAGTTTGTTTAGAGAACAGAACGTTTACTATTGTTTGTCTAGAGAACAGAACGTGTATTATAGTTTGTTCAGAGAACAAAACGTTTACTCTAATTTCTTTTAAAAAACAGAACATTTACTCTTATTTCTTCTAGGGAACTGAACATTTAATATAGTTTATTTACATAACATAACATTTACTATAGGTTTTTTATAAAGCAGAACATTTACTATAGGTCATTTAGATAACAGAACATTTACTATAATTTATTTAGAGGACCGACTATAGGCTATAAAATAGTGCGAGAAAAGACACATGTCTACAGTTTAGTTTGAGAACAACTATAAACTAAAGTTTATTTCGAAGACCACACAAGCACTGTTCTGTTGTGATGGCATGTGGAGAGGGAAAGGGGGGGGGGGAGTTGCGGAGGCTTTGGAGAAATTGTTGACGACTAGTAAGATCATCGATTAAAGAGGGAGAGGCAGGAGCAGTGAGATAGTGACGGATGGACTACGACGTTGGCACAGAGAGATGGTGACGGATGGACTACGACGGTGGCACAGAGAGATGGTGACGGATGGACTACGACGGTGGCACAGAGAGATGGTGACGGATGGACTACGACGGTGGCACAGAGAGATGGTAACGGATGGACTACGACGGTGGCACAGAGAGATGGTGACGGATGGACTATGACGGTGGCACAGAGAGATAGTGACGGATGGACTACGGCGGTGGCACAGAGAGATGGTGACGGATGGACTACGACGGTGGCACAGAGAGATGGTGACGGATGGACTACGACGGTGGCACAGAGAGATGGTGACGGATGGACTACGACGGTGGCACAGAGAGATATCATCGGTGGAAGTAATCCAGAAGACAAGGGACCGAGATCTGTGGAGATGCATGGACACCTACGCCAGTCGACAGTACACGTGATGATGGTGATGATGAGTCGGAGTAACAAGAAAAGATTCACTCAGGAACTATTACATCAAGACGAGAGTCAACACAGGACCAGTAATCAACTTTATCGGTAGACAACAGATCAAACAGTTTGACCATGTTACGAGATTGGCAACAAACAGGGCACCAGAGAGAGCAGTGTTATACATATACAGTGGCATCAGAGGGACACCAAGCAGAAAATGGACTGAGGAAATAGCAGAGCCCTGCAAAAGTACTAAATACGAAGCGAAGTGTGTGGACAGTTTTAGAGATATTTTTCTTCCCTGTCGCAGCGAGGCATTCCATGAGTGCAGAAAAGAAGGAGAAAATAATGAAGTGAGACTGCTGAACACCATCTATAAATATATAAAGATCAAACACTTCGAGCAGTAAATATAGTAGGATTACAGTCTGCTTGTTATAACTATCATACCATTAAATTACTTTTATTTACTTAAAGTACAGTACAATCTTCAGGCCAGTGACATATCAAACATATAATGCTAGTAAAAGAAAAGTAAGCACATCACTATTTTCCACGCCTATAGGCCTATTAGCAATGTATGGCCAGATCTACATTTTATAGACCAGATGGCACTCAGTGGGTGATGTGGTCAACATCATGCCGGCCGCCTTTACTTCCTATGATGATATCTGACACACACTCAAGGTTGGGTCGACCTGGGAGCCATAGTCGTTTGTAAACAGTCAGGCTCCGTCAGGACCCAAACCAAAAACCTTCATATGCAGGGGCGAGCGTATATGATATTAGACTTACCTTTGTCCTTACAAGTCGTCACTGGAGGGCTCCTGTCAACATAAGGCCGGTCGCCGTTACTTCCAATGACATTTTCTTTGGAGCCAATGTCGTGTTTTCTTTCAAATCCGTCCGGTTGGGAATCTAACCCAAGACCTTTATTCCGAAAGTCCGCAACTGAGATCGAACCTGGCACCCCTGTATTACGAGGCGCGTCCCCAACGCCTATGCAACAGACGCCGACACTAAGTCAGTAAACACTTTTATTACATTGCTACAGGTTACTTGGTAACTGCAGTATAACCGTCATAGCTTCCGGTGTTAGTATTTTTTGCTTGATTCTCATTGGTAATGTATTCAAACCCTGTAGACTGCAGTGCTCGTAGGGGACAAACTACCCACCTACTATAAGTCACCGATGACCACTGTCATCACTACTTACATCATCATCATCACAGGGCTATGCCATTTATACACAGGGCTCGCAGTTAACTCCTCCATTCCGTCTGCCCATTGTACTAAAAGCGGCTGTTATTTTTATTACAAGTTGTCTATTTTTGACATCTGATAAATTCCCATAAATTCTCACAGCCTGTCGGCCATACCACATTTATACTTCCTGAGAAAGCTTGTCGATGTATGAGATAATCTTTGTTTACACACAGCATATCAGTGTGGTTAAGTATAGTAGTAAATAAAACCTATTGATTCTATTCACATGCTCCCAAAATTGTGTTGGATATGTGGTGCTACAGTATATTTTTCTAAATAAGACAGCATTTGATAGGCGATATAGTCGTAATTAAAAGAAGCGGAAATTTAGTATTGTAGGCTTAAAAAAAATCACCATTGCTCCTAGAAAATTAGGATATTGAAGTACAAATCTCAAATAAGAAGAAAATAATTTTGTACTCAAACGGGTCAGAAGAGACAGGTTTTTTTAAAAAAAAAAAAAATTCTTTGCCAGATCAACACTCTACTGTCACTACTATAACACTAATGAGAAAATAAGTAGAGTAAAGGTGCCATTTCCACGCCACTTAGGCGTCTTGGGAATATAGAGTTAAACTTATATTTTTATAGACCAATCGGCACTTGGGAGATGTGGTGAGCATCACGCCGGCCGCCTTGACTTCACACAACTGCACCTAGGTCGACCTGGAGTCAGGGTCATTTTTGAAAGAAAAATTCCGGCTCTGACAGGACGCTAGCCCACGACCCTTTGATCGGCAGGCAGGTGTCTAATCGCCAACTGTTAATGAAAAAAATTAACATTTTTTCTTTTATTATTTTTCTTATTCTTCGTTCACTAGATGTTAACTCCGGCGAAAAGTTCTGGTTGTTTGACCAATTCTAGACTGCAGTCTTGTTCCAGAGCCTGAGTGTTGCGTGTACATCCATTTAAGAGATCTGACTAACTTGTATGCCGACTTTTGGTTCCTTGCCTCTCAGGCAGATGCACTCCGACTTCAAATGAAGCTCCCAATTAGTCGACTCTTACGACATGCTTTTGGGCAGTGAGTCTATTCTTGTTTTCCCTTTAATAGGGCACTGGAACCCACACGGGGATTTCTTTTATAGAAAGTTAAACCCTTCGTCCAGCCGAGACTACAACTGCCCACCTAGGGCACCGTGACTCAGGAGTTCAAGTTCTTTGAGGACAACCACCCCCCTCTTTCTCCCTAACCCTCTTCTCTACACACAAACATTATTAAAAGGGTGGGCCGGTAGGGGAGGGGGAAAGACCTGTCTCGTCTACTCTTCATTGAAGCTAGACCCCCTCCCTTCCATCCCATTTATATCAAATCCCCCCCCCCCCCTCTAGCCCACCCTCCTAGATAATTCCACCACGCCCTTCCCGGAGATTTCATATTCAAGAAGCTCTGGTTTGGAGTATAACAGTATCTAATAGAAGTCGGATTATTAGAAACAAAACAGGAAAGATAGCCATTTGACATACATTTTCTCTACACATACAATGTTATGTTATTATTTTATGTAGGTTGTGGCGCAGTAGGATAGAAAGATTTTCTCCTTTTACTACCTTAATTACTTTTTAAGTAATAGTGAACTGACTGACTGCAGTTTAACCCTACCAGGACATCACACAGAGCGATAAACACTGGGTGACATAGGGTGCCACCATTCGGATGAGGATCACCTGCGGACAGGTCCCAGAAACTTGTTAAACCAACCCGTAGGGTTATAATTAGGGCCCCTGATAACAGCCAGGTGGGGCTTCTAAATAACGAAAAATTGCATCATTCACGCTTTCGGACAGTGACATGAATAATAATAGCGAACACTGCATAATGATG